GTTCTGCCACGAGCGCGGAGGGCGGCGTTGGGCTGCACCGCTTTCCTCCCGGCCCGTCAGCACGGCGTGGGGCTGCAGGCAGGCGCCGAGTGCTGCTCACACCTCGCTGCTGCTGGGAGCTCAGCCTGTGCTCCTGTGCAGCCCTGCGGTGCAGCAGGGCTCTGCGAGGGGTTCAGGAGGCGCCGCTCCTCCGCTCGCTGACGCTTGCGCTCCCTGCAGGTTTCACATGGACCCTTCAGGGACCTTCGTGCAGTGCGATGCCAGGGCCATCGGCTCTGCCTCGGAGGGAGCGCAGAGCTCGCTGCAGGAGGTGTACCACAAGGTAAAGGCTGAGGGCAGGGAGCTGCGCCAGGCCGGGCCTTGGCAGCTGCTGCAGCCATGGGACGTGGCACAGCGACAGCAGCCTCTCTGCAGGCTGGGGCTGCTCAGCAACACGAGCCTGGTGTGCAGCGTGCCGGGCTGCGCCGCCAGCAGGTGATGATTGAGCCCGTGTCAGGAAGCACTCTATAAATAAGTGCTGCTGCACGGCAGGGCTGCACTGGGGCTCCGTGTGGCTGCAGCCCAGAGGGGAAGGAGCAGAGCGAGAGGCAGAACGTCCTTCCCCCAGGTGTGCAGCTCCGAGCAGCCGAGCTGACGGCTTTTTGAGCCCTCGTCATATCCTATATTCAGAACCCGCTTTCTCCTCTCTGTGGGAGGGGAGCTGCCTGCTCAGTGTCAGAGGAAATCAAACGCTGTAATGAAAAGCATAATTGATGCTGTTGATTGCCTTGAAGACTTTCAGCCTAAGCCTCCATAATCTAATTAAGCAGCAGAATTGCCAGCGTTCTGTGTTCCGTGGCTCATTCACCATCTTCCCGGCGCAGTTACTGCACACACAGCCATCATCCATCTGAACGCTGTGCAGCCTTCTGGCTCTGGCTCCCCTCATGCAGGGATTTGTGTTATTAAAGCACAAAGGCTTCTGCCAGCAGCCCGGCTCGTGGGGGAGCTGCTCGGTAGGCAGTAACCAGTGAAGGGAAGCGGGCCCTGCTGCCCTGCTCCTCACAGGAAGGTTGCAGAGCCCAGCTTAAGGGCTCTTAAGCTTCAGAAGAAGAGATACAGGAGCAGAAAGTCGCCATCCTTGAAATCGTCGCTGTCCTTCCCAAGCAGCGTGCTTTGATCTCCTGTTGATACAGCAGATAACTTGATAAGCTTTTAAATTCACTGCCAGTGGCAGCTTAAGGGATTAGAGAGGAGAAGCAGGGAGAGCAGCGGCTGCTGCAGTTAAAGGGGTAACGGAGGAAACGCTTCCTCGGGCATCAGCAGAGCGGTGAGGGAGTGCTTTGTGCTTTGTTTCACAGTCCATGACGCTGAAAGAAGCCATCAAATCTTCCCTCGTCATCCTGAAGCAAGTGATGGAGGAGAAACTGAATGCAACCAACATTGAGGTGAGCGGGGATCCGTGCGCGGCTGGGGGCGGCCCTGCGGTTTGAACGGCCTGCTGGCAGCGGGGGCTGGGGAGCATTGGGAGCCTGGGTTTGGTTTGTGGATGTGTGCAACCTGCCTGCGTGCCGGGCTGCCCAGCAGTGCTGCTGCAAGCGGTGCTGGGCTGCAGGGCCGCATGGGGGTGAGTGCAGCCCCTGCTGCCCTTCCCCAGGCCGTGCCAGCAGGATCGCTGCTTCTTCCCCCGTGTTCAGCCATTCTTTTTTCCCCTGCCACTCGTAATATTAGAAGGAATGAAAATCGTACAGCTCCTGGAATTGCTATATTCAGGCCGGGATGGTGGCCAAAAATCCCTCGGGCAGAAGGGCTGGAGAGGTGAAGCCTGCAGGAATGGCTGTGCTGCGCCAAGCTGCAGCCCTCGCGGGGCTCAGTGCCAGGCAGGTGTGTGCCGGCCCTGCAGCCTCCGTGGTGCTGCTCAGGTAGTGATGGTCAGCGTGGAGACCAGCAGAACCTTCCCAACTCCTTAATGATAACGGGCAGATGATGAGCGAGGCTGGTGGATGGAGTTTGCTTCTATTTCTGGCAGGCTGTGAGATGCCAGACCTTTCAGAATCGTGTTGTTCTGACTCCGCTCCTGCTGTTCTGCCATTCCTGTCCTCTGAGCTCTGGCAGTCCGTTTCCCAAACAGCCTTCAAGTCTGCACCCCGTGGTTTTTATTAACTGCTGCTGCTGGAGGCTCTCCTGCCTCAACTGCCTTCATCAGGAGGGAAGGAGCCACGCGCTGCTCAGAACGATGCCAGGCCGCCTTCTGCTCCCCAGCTGCTCCCCATCACACGCAGAGCAGCTTCAGGGCTCCTCTGCTGTGCAGCGAGGGGCACGGAGGCAGTGCTGATGTACAGCATCCTTACGGCCCGTCTGACGGGGCTTAACTGTGCTTGGCAGGGCTCTGAGCCTATGCAGGAATCTGGGGTTAAGCACGACAGGAATGTGCTGAGGATTAAAAGGTCGCCGTCGACTCAAGTCGCCCTTCTGCTTGAAAATCTTTCGCTGGCGGAGCTGCTTTGCTTTCCAGCTTTGCACGCCATGCTCTGCTTTTTAGGCCCTCTTTCCTGCGTGGGGATTTTCCAGCGAGGGGAAGAGGAGGGGATGTGGTGATGGGAGAAGCAGAATCCATGGGCACCAATGGAGCCTGAAACGGTTTTATGCTTTCACGTGAATTATTCCCTGCTGGAAGGGAAGGGGGGGTTGGTGGAGTTTTGGTGCCAGGTCGGCACGTCTGCGTGATTTGGGCTCCCTGGGGGCATCTGGAAGCCTGAGGAGCTCCCTTAGCAGAGCATCCTTCCCCGGCGAGCAGCAGCGGGGCCTGGGAGCTCCCCATAGATGTTCCCTTCCACTGCTACTATGAGGAGGCTGAGTCAATTAAAAGCTATTTCTGTGGCAGGCTGCTATTTTAGGGAATCACAGAGCGTGTTACGGGGTGGGATGATCTTGCTGGGCTGGCAGATCAGGCAGCAGGGAAGGAACAGCTGCTCCGCCTGCTGCTCTCCGTTCCCTGCCCCATGCTGTCACTGCACATATGTGGGCACACTTCACCCCTTGCTCCTTCTCTTTCAGCTTGCCACCGTGGAGCCGGGCATGAAGTTCCACATGTACACGAAAGAGGAGCTGGAAGAGGTCATCAAGGACATCTGAAAGGGACAGAGCCTCCCTCGAAGGTTCATTCCCCCGATCAGAGCGAACTGACTCTCAGTTCCTTCCAGTACCTGTGATTTTATTTCCAGCAGCATCTGTAATTGCTCTTCTCGGAAGGCTCTTATGGTTTTTTTACAGTCTCTGTACATAATGGATCTCTACAATAAGAGGAAATGACAATAAATCATTTTGTTACTCTATCCTGGGTTCCTGGAAGGAGGAGGGGGGGATTCCTGAGGGCTGAGCACAGAGCAGGTGAGGACAGCATCGGCACGGCCGGGCTGCAGCCCCTGCCTGCATCAGGCACGAGTCTCCCTCTCGTGGAGGCCGCGGCGCTGCTGTTTGCTGCAGCCCTGACCTGGGAGCGCAGAGCAGTGAACCTTTGCTCCCCTGCTGAGCAGAACTCGTCGCTCCTGCTGCTGCCATCTGTGTCCTCCACGCGGTGCCCGGGAGCTGCAGCTCGGTGCAGGCATGGCGACGTGCACAGCACCGCCCCACAACCACAGCTTCACCCTACCAGCACCCAGCCCTGCAGGCAGCACCGTCGGCACCAGCCCTGTGCCTCCCACCCCAACGGAGACGTGGGGACGCCCGCGCTGTTGCCCGCTGTGTTGGCAGAGGGGAAAGCACCCATCTATTAATTTTTTTCCTCTCTTGCTGCTGTCAAACAGATGCAGGAAACGGGACGGCTGAGTCCCTGCCCCATTCCCTTGCAGAGCCGAGGGGCAGTGCCAGCCCTGCAGTGCCCGTGGACTTTGTCCTTCGGGGCCACATCCCTGCACCAGGCTCGGGCTGCTGCCCCATCCGCTGCCTCCCTGCTGTGCTGCTCCTCGCCCTGTTTGTGTCCCGGGGAACAAAAAGCCGATTCTTCCAAGCCGGCCCTGTGATGGAGGATGACCCTTTGTGCCCTGTTCTGGGGCAGAGCGGGGCGCTGCTGGGTGTGCAGCTGGGGGGGCTCATAGCCTTGGAGCAAGGGCATGGGGATGTGGAGATGTGGGGCAGCTTCCCCTGGGAGAGCTTTTTAGGGTCTCTGCATGATGAGCTGTGCCCCCAAAACCAGGAGTTCTGCCCTCAAACTGACAGTTTTGGCCCCAAACCAGGAGCGGCGTCCGAAAATCAGGAGCCATGCCTTAAAACGAGGAGCTGTGGGCCGCAGCTTGGAACGGGGTCTCAAAACCGCGAGCTGTACTCCCCCAAAAATGAGAGATTCGCCCCCAAACCGGGTGTTGTGCCACCAAACCGGGTGTCCCAAAGCTGGGCGCTGTGTCCCCCACTGCCGCCCCATAACCGCACTTATAACGCCCCACAGCCACGTGCTGCGCGCTATAACCGGCTGTTTTGCCCCACAGCCGGCAGTTCTGCCCCCAAAACCACGATTTATGCCTCCAAATCAGCTGCACCCCACAACCGGGCGCTGCGCCCCACGCCTCGTGCCTCCGAAATCAGGAGTTTTACCCCAAATCCCTGAGCGCCGTCCTTGTCGTCGTTCTTTCCCCCCCCCCCCCTCCCCCCCCCAAGTCCGGCTGGGCTCGGCGCGCCCCCACGCCCAGCTACCTGTCGCCTCGACCAATCAAAAAATCGCTCGGCCGCCCCCCGGTCACAGCCAATCAGAGGGCTGTCGTTAGGTGGATAAGAACTCACGGGCCGGATGAGGGGGGCGGGCTCGCACCCATCGGACTAGCGCCGAGAGCCAATCGCGACAGGAGAACGGTGATGATTGACGCAGAAGAGAGCTAATCGGAATGCTACCCCGGTGGAGGCGGTTCGCCGGTGTTGAGCGACGTCCTCTTGAGCCAGTCACCCGACGGGGGCGCGGCGAGGGGGCGTGCCGCGGATCTCCGTTAACCAATGGGGCGTGGCGGACAGGCGAGGAGGCGGGGCGAGGCCGGTGCGGGCGCGGGGCGGCGGCGGCGACCGGAGTCGCCATGGGCCCGCGCGGGGCGGCGCGGCTGACGGTGGCGGTGGCGGCGGTGGCGTTGGCGGCGGCTCTGCGGGCGTCCACGGGCGGAGGGCAGGAGGAGGGCGGGGAGGGCTGCGGGGGGCTGCGCGGCGTCACGGCCGTGCTGGGCAACAACACGCACCAGGTGAGCGGCGGGCGGGGCGGGCGGCGGGCGGCGGGACGGGAGGAGAGAGGGACCCCCGCACCGCCACCGCCCGGCGGCCGTGGGACGGACGGGAAGGAGTCGCCCCGCCCCCCCCGTCGGTGTGACAGCGGGCGGACGGACGGACAGAGCGAGGCAGGGAGGGACGGACGGACCCCGGGGCGCGCACCGGGCTGGGCGGGGGACGGACGGACGGACGGACGGACGGGGAGCGCCTTGCCGCCTCCTCCGGTGCAGACAGAGATCGGTTCTGGAGCCGGTAGGGCGGCTGGACAGACGGACAGACAGGCGGACAGCGGCTGTTAGTGACCCCGTCCTGCCTGGGTGGGACAGACGGACAGACGGACAGCTCCGTCATGCGCCTGTGGATGAACGGACAGACGGACGGACGGACTCACAGACAGCCCCGTCCCGCAGCGCAGGGGGCCCCAACACAACCGCCCCCCCCCCTCCCTACAACGGCGTCCTCCGCCACCGCTCCCCGCAGGGTGCGCCCGCTCTGCCGGCCCGGCCGGTCGTTAATTGTCGCTAATTGGCACCCGGGGACGGGCGCCGCTGGGACGCACCGGGAGCGCGGAGTGGGACGTGGGTGGCGCGGCCCGGTGTCCCATTCGGTGTCCACGCCGAGGTCACCGCTCAGCCGGGGCTCGTTTCCATCCCTTCCCCTTTTCCCCGTTCCCTCCTCCTTGCAGGGAGGCGCGGGGCGGCGCTGCCCGTGCGGGCGCTGTTTGAGCAACGGGGACGGCGGCGGTGGCCTCATTTCCTCCCCTTCCTGAGCAGAGCCTCCCCGCCCCGCCGCCAGCACCGACCGCTCCCCGCACCCCCCGACCCCCCCATCCCCGTGCCCTGCATCCAACTCCCGGGGCTGGGGACGCTCAGGGGCTCCGTGTCCCCATCCCCGCGCTGCACAACGGAGGCCATTCCTTCCTTCTCTCTCTCAGTGCGTCTTCGACGACCTCAGCGGCTCCGTGTCCCTGTCGTGGGTGGGCGATAGCACGGGGGTAAGATGGGGCTGAGGGCTGCGGGTGCCGCTGCCCCGCTGAGGGGCTGTGGGGTCGGGGGACCCCCGGTGCTGAGCCCTGCACGCTGTGCTCCCGCAGGTCATCCTTGTGCTGACCACGTTCCAGGTGCCCTGGGTGATTGTGATCTCTGGGCAGTCCAAGCTGTACCGCAGGTACCGACCCCCCCCCCCCCCCCCCCAAAATCAGATTTGAGGAGTGGGGTCTTGCAGGCAAGACCACCAAGGGGGTCCCGGTGGTGCTGACAGCTGTGCCGTGTGCATGCCGTTACAGTGAGGACTATGGGAAGACCTTCAAGGACATCACCAACCTCATCAACAACACCTTCATCCGCACCGAGTTTGGCATGGCCATCAGCCCCGACAACTCGGGGAAGGTGGGAACCCCATGCCTTGACCCACACCCTCAACCCCAACCATTAACCCCTAACCCCAACCCCCAACTGAAACCTTGACCCAAACCCCCAACCCTGCCCCTTAACCCCTACTCCCAACCCAACCCCTAAACCCTCCCCATTAGTCCCCACCCCTAACCCCAACCCCAACCATTCACCCCTAACCCAAGCCCCCAACCAAAACCCTGACCCAAACCCCCAACCCCACCCATTAACCCCTACCCCTGACCCATAACTGAAACCCTGACCCCTCACCTGATCCCTAAGCCTAACCCTTAGCTGCTAACCCAAACCCCTGGCACTCAGCGAGGTTTCAGTGCTGAGCCCTGTGCTGTGTCCCATCCCAGGTCATCCTGACAAGTGATGTCTCTGGTGGCAGCCGCGGCGGCCGCATCTTCCGCTCGTCTGACTTTGCCAAGAACTTTGTGCAGACCGAGCTGCCCTTCCACCCTCTGGCACAGATCTCCTACCACCCGCAGGACTCCAACCGCCTGCTGGCACTCAGCACCGACGTACGGCCACAGGGCTGGGGATGTGGAGGGGAGGGGGAGGTGGAGGGGAGGGGGAGGTGGTGAGGATGGGACGTGGAGGGGAAGGGGACACGGTGGGGAGGGGGACATGGAGGGGAGGGGGATGTGGAGGGGAAGGGAACATGGAGGGGAAGGGGAGGTGAAGGGGAGGGGGAGGTGAAGGGGAGGGGGACGTGAAGGGGAAGGGGACATGGAGGAGGGGGAGGTGGAGGGGAGGGGGATGTGGAGGGGAGGGGGACATGGTGGAGATGGGGACGTGGTGAGGATGGGGACGTGGATGGGAAGGGGACACGGTGGGGAGGGGGAGGTGGAGGGGAGGGGGAGGTGGAGGGGAGGGGGATGTGGAGGGGAGGGGGAGGTGGAGGGGAGGGGGATGTGGAGGGGAGGGGGATGTGGAGGGGAAGGGGATGTGGAGGGGAGGGGATGTGGAGGGGAGGGGGATGTGGAGGGGAAGGGGATGTGGAGGGGAGGGGGATGTGGAGGGGAGGGGGATGTGGAGGGGAGGGGGAGGTGGAGGGGAGGGGGAGGTGGAGGGGAGGGGGATGTGGAGGGGAGGGGGATGTGGAGGGGAAGGGGATGTGGAGGGGAGGGGGAGGTGGAGGGGAGGGGGAGGTGGAGGGGAGGGGGAGGTGGAGGGGAGGGGGATGTGGAGGGGAAGGGGATGTGGAGGGGAAGGGGATGTGGAGGGGAGGGGGAGGTGGAGGGGAGGGGGACGTGGAGGGGAAGGAGACACGGTGGAGGTGGGGACGTGGTGAGGATGGGGACATGGAGGGGAAGGGGGACGAGGGGAACACGGTGGGGAGGGGGACGCGGCGAGGACGGGGACAGAGCCGTGCCATTGATGAGTGGAATTCATCTTTTGCAGAATGGCCTCTGGGTCTCCAAGGACTTTGGGGAGCGCTGGGAGCAGATCCACAGAGCTGTCTGCCTGGCCAAGTGGGTGAGCGCCCGCCCGGTGTCTGCGGTGCCGGGACGGTGCTGCCCCATCGCTGCCTCCATCACGGCTCTCTTCCAGGGGTGCAAACGACACCATCTTCTTCACCGCCTACCTGAACGGCTCCTGCAGTGAGTGCCGTCCCCCCGCTGTCCCCTCTGAGCGCGGGGCGCCCCGTTAACCCGCCGCCCCTTGTCCCCAAGAAGCTGACCTCGGCTTCCTGGAGCTGAAGAAAACCACCGACTTCGGCAAAACCTTCAAAGTCATCGGCACCAAGATCTACTCCTTCGGGCTGGGCGGCCGCTTCCTCTTCGCCTCCGTCATGACGGAGAAGGTGGCCGCCCCCTCCCTGCGCCCCTCCATCGGCGCGTGGAGGAGCTGGGCTGAGGCTGTGGGTCCTGCAGGGCTTCACGCGGCGCATCCACGTCTCGCTGGACCAAGGTGAGAGCTGGAGCATGGCACAGCTGCCCTCCGTCGGCCACGAGCAGTTCTACTCCATCCTGGCTGCCAACGATGACCTGGTGTTCATGCATGTGGATGAGCCGGGTGGTGAGCGGGGCTGGGGATGAGGAGGGGATGTGGAAGGGGTGAGGATGGGGGTGGGATGGGGATGGAGGTGTGATGGGGTGAGGATGGGGATGGGATGGGGATGGGGTGAAGATGGGGTGAGGATGGGGATGGGGTGAGGATCAGGGGAACGTGGGGATGGTTTGAGGATGGGGATGGAGGTGTGATGGGGTGAGGATGGGGGTGGGATGGGGATGGAGGTGTGATGGGGTGAGGATGGGGATGGGGTGAGGATGAGGGGAACATGGGGATGGGGTGAGGATGAGGGGAACATGGGGATGGGGTGAAGATGGGGTGAGGATGGGGATGGAGGTGTGATGGGGTGAGGATGGGAATGGGGATGGGGTGAGGATGAGGATGGGGTGAGGATGAGGATGAAGTGAAGACGGGGATGGCACGAGGATCAGGGGAATGTGGGGATGGGGTGAAGATGGGGTGAGGATGGGATGGAGATGGGATATGGAAGGCGTGGGGTGGCATGAGGGTGGGATGAAGGTGGAGATGGGATGAGGATGGTTTGAGGGTGAGGGTGAAGTGGGGCTGGGTTGAGGATGGGATGAGGATGGGGCTGGTTTGGTGCTGCGGGCAGCTGGCACACGGCAGCAGCAGCAATGAAAGCTGCTCCACACCGCAGCACGGGGCCCTGAGCCCAGGCAGGGCCGTGCCTTTGAGGAAGGACTTTTTCTCATTAATTCCTTCATGAGGAAACTAATTAGCGGGCAGTAGCTGCGGGAAGGCACATTCCTGGCACGAAGCGTGGCCACACGTCAGCCGTGGGGTTTTTTCCTCTCCCTGCATCGCTCCCTCTGCATGGAGCCGTTGGTTGCCCAAATCCCCCCTCATTCCCACCCCCCAGACACCGGCTATGGCACCATCTACACGTCGGACGACCGCGGCGTGGTGTTCTCCAAGTCCTTGGAACGTCACCTCTACACCACAACCGGCGGGGAGACCGACTTCACCAACGTCACGTCGCTGCGTGGCATCTACATCACCAGCGTGCTGTCCGAAGGTGGCGCCCGTGGGGGGGCTTTGGGCTGGGGCTGCTCGGCAGGGACGCGCTGCCAACCCCCCCCCTTGTCCCCCCCCGTTCCCTGCAGACAACTCCATCCAATCCGTCATCACGTTTGACCGAGGTGGGGAGTGGGTGCCGCTGCGGAAGCCCAAGAACACGACGTGCGACTCGACAGCCCGCAGCAAGGAGGAGGTGGCTCTGCCCTGTGTCCCCAAGCAGGGACGCGTGTCCCCATCCTCACCCTCTCTGTGCCCCCCCCGGTGGGGTTGGGATGTAAACCCTCAGCTGTGGGGGGCGGCTGTGGGTCTGGGGGTGCGTTGGGGTCACGCGGTGCGGAGCCCTGATGCGTTTGCTGCTTGTCCTTGCAGTGCAGCCTCCACATCCACGCGTCCTACAGCATCTCGCAGAAGCTCAATGTGCCCATGGTGCCGCTGTCTGAACCCAACGCCGTCGGCATCGTCATCGCCCACGGTACCGGGGGGGGCAGGGGGGCAGGGAAAGGGGGGGGTTCCTATGT